AATTTGGGTACAGCCACTAGATGGTTTTCTAATTTCAACTTTTGGGTTCGGGCTAAATACACTCATTGGATAAGAGAAAAGTGGAAAGAAAGGTAAAAATGGCTACTCACAAGCTGCCCAACTTTTTGATATTTTCTGTAAAGTTCCCCAGCAAGAAAACAAAAAAGGAAAGAAAGCAAGAAAAAACAAAAGCAAGAAAGCAAAATGTTTTTGTGATTTTTGGAATTTTTAATTTTTATATCTTTTTCTTTGTAACAGCACAAGAAACACACAAAAAAACAGAGCCCTTTCGGGCAAACAGAAAAAGGAAATTAAAGGCCCTGTTGGGTTGGCTGGAAAAAGTGAAAGAACAAATAAAAGGGAAGACTGTCAGGCAACCAAAGCAAGAGAAACAAAAAGGGACAAAGCCCTCTCGGGTAACACAGACCAAAGTAAAAGAAAGAACCAATTTGGGCAAATTTTGAAGAAAAGGGAATCGGGCAAACTGCTCAGATTTTTTTTTTTTTTTTTTTTTGAATGACTTTCAAAACTATAATATAATATAATATATAAAATAATATATATAACAAGCCCACTCGGGCAAAGTACTTCCATTCCCCTCTTTTCACATATAATATATATATATATATATATATATATATATATAGAGCTTAAGGGGAGGGATCCCCATTTTTTGAAAAAAATAGGGATTAGGTGTGGGGCCCACTTCACATCGAATTTCAACGATCCGAACTATCTATTTTGTTAGTCTCGATTCATAGATCATCCTTGCAAAATATTAGCTAAATTGGAAATGTTTAAGACATCTAATTGGGTTCAATGAAATAAACGAATACTTTGTTATATAAGAAAAAATGAAATTTGATCTTGATAATTAAATAGGCAAATGGTTTCGGATTGAATTGAATTTTTGCAAGGATGATCTATGAATCGAGACTAACAAAATAGACGGTTCGGATTGTTGAAGTTCAATGTGAAGTGGGCCCCACACCTAATCCCCATTTTTTTCAAAAAATGGGGATCCCTCCCCTTAAGCTCTCTGTATATATATAGCCCTTTTGGGAAAAGTGAAAGACAAGATAAGACAAAGAGAAAGAAATAAAGAAAAAGGAATAGAGGAGGGATTTGGCACCTACTTTCGGGCAAAAGGAAACAGGAGAGAAAGAAAAGGAAAGAGAGAAGGAAAGAAGAAAAGGAAGACTGGGAGTTCAACTTCAGGCAAAAGAGGAAACAACAAAATAAGCCCCACTTGGGCATATTGGTTAAGCCCCTTGATTGCCCAGATATCTCTTAACACTCAAATCTTTTTCTCTTTTTAAAATTGAGTGTAGAGAGATTAGATCCACCATTTAAATTAGCCATACCATATAGCTTGGAAACAATAGGAGGTGGCCATTTATGTTTGATCCCAAGCTTTGCCCTTCTTGAGATCTTGGTATGGATGACATGCTTGTGTTGGCGGAGAAGAGAGTGGGAAATATTTTCTTCTTCTTCGGGCTCCACATGAGGTGTGAGTTCGAGCCCCCCGAGCGTTGGTGTTTGGCCTACAATAGCCATAAGCTCCATCTTAGCCGTTATCGGTTTCAATATGTCGGCTTGGCCTTCTACAACCATATCCATTTTCATGGATTTTTCATTGGGTGGGGCCATTGTTTGGCCTTCATCAACGTGTATGATTTGTTCTTCCTTGGTTGTAGTAGGGTGAGTGTGCTTTGTAGAGGGGATTTGACACATTTGATCTATCAACTTTCTCAAAGTTTCTCCAAAAGTGGTATAGCTTTCCTCCACCTTTCTAAAACACTTGGTCACCTCTTCACCATATCGATGCTTGCCACATGGAGTTTGGACACCTTCTCTAATTTGCCCACATCCTCTTTGTAGAGCTTTTCATCTGGATGATCATGAGTTGGTATCTCATATATTGGCTCTATGTACTCATTGGAAGCATTTTGATACTCAAAGCCATTTGTTGGCCTATCATAGTATTCATGAATATGATTGTCTTCAAAAGAATAATAACCTTCATCATAGCCATAAGTTGGCCAATCTTCAAGATTATTATTTATTTGATGGCCATTAGTTGGCCGACAATCATGTTCCATGGGACTTGAGTACTTTTCAGCCATGTACCCATAAGTTGACAACTCATAGGTTGGCTCTATGTGATAGCCATAGCTTGGGCGCTCTTCAACACCGTCATCCTCCTCATACTCCGAAAAAGCATATTGAGAAAAATCATGAACATAAGGATTGCTCATAATATAACTCTATTTAAGGTATCCCACCGGGTGTGCCAAAATATGTTTGCTCCCTAAATTCGCCATGGCGCCTTGCGGGCAAGCCGGGGATTTACTTCACATACGAGATTGGTGGGGTGCGGGCATGCCACTACTAGATACCGTTAGTAGACAGATTCTGAATGATTGAGGTTGCGCCTGAGATTGACTTCGAACCAAGAGATTGTGCCATTGAGTGAGAGTTACTCAAATTAAGGTTCTTTGTTTGCCTTAAAAATAAGGACTTTACTTATATGGAGAGATAGAACAATATGTAAATGACAAGGTTGCTTGGAAATATAAATGACAGAGGAAAGTGACTAATATTGCAGATTGCTTGTAGATTAAATGACTGAAAGAGGGTTGTACATAAAAGCTACAAATAAGATCGATACTACAAGTGAGTAGCAGAGCTAATAAACAAGAAAAGCAAAGGATGCTTGGCTAAAAATAAATGTCTACAAGGAAGCTGATGAGCTAATTTGAGTAGAGTTTTGATTGGTTGTTTTGAGTGTCCATAATCCTTCTCCATCTGCTTCTTTATATAGAGGTCTGGAAGAGCCCCCTTGCTAAGATCTTTGTACCTGCCCGAAAGAAGCTTGGGCAGCTTGCATTTGCATTTGCCAACTTGCATGTAGAAACAATATTAAAAGGGAAACTTGCATCTCCACCACATGTTTTTAGCACATGTTTCCCCACTTGTAATAAACTAACAATTAAAAAAGAAGCAAGTTGCATCTCCACCACATGTATTTTCCCACTTGCAATAAAATAATTAAAAGAAGCAAACTAGCTTCTTTCACTACACGTTCTTGCCCGAAAGCTCTCCCATCCACTTGCAATACATGCATGTATCTTGATTAAACAAAGGCTTGACAAACCTCCACCACCTAAACAAATGGGAAAAACAATATTATAGTGCCAAACCCCCCCCACTTGCAGCCAAATATCTTTCCAAGTTAGTTTTCTTGCATATTAATCCTTCAAATACCATATTTTACCCAAATTGCCCAAATAAGTAAAAATGGGTATATTTTGAGTGCAAACACAAAGGTTTCTGACTTTGGGCTTGCAAAATTGTATCCAGTAGATAATAGCATTGTCTCTTTGACGGCAGCACGGGGTACAATGAGATATATTGCTCCTGAGTTGTTCTACAAAAATATTAGAGGTGTCTCATACAAGGCCGATGTCTATAGTTTTGGAATGTTGTTGATGGAAATGGCAAGCAGAAGGAAGAATTTGAATGCAACGGTAGAGCATCCAAGCCAAATCTATTTCCCGTTATGGGTATATGATCAATATATTGTGGGAAATGACTTGGAAATAGACAATGTTACAGAGGATGAAAAGAAAGTGATAAGAAAGATGGTTATAACCGCCTTGTGTGTATTCAAATGAAACCAAGTGATTGCCCTTCGTTGTCCAAAGTTGTCGAAATGCTTGGAGCAGATATTGAATGTCTGCAAATGCCTCTCAGGCCTTCTGTATGCCCCGAAGAGACAGCTGTGACTGGGGGTGATATTCAAGACAATGGATTGAACCCAATATGTTCTAACGCATAGCTAACATGTTAATTTGAGATCCAAGATGTTTTTAAGACTAAAAGAAAGAGTTATAAAGTAAATATGGCTGCAGGACCATTGGACCAGAGGACCACATACTCTAACAATATATGATGAATAGTACTCATTCTTCTCTTTTTTGTTGTCTAATTCTTCTCTTTTTTGTTGTCTAATTCTTCTCTTTAAGGTATAATATGAAAATCTTATTTCAAAATTGTGTTTTTTTTTCCTTCAGAGAAAATTTGGGCTATAAGGGCTCAGTGCAAAGCTTCCTGTAAGCATGGGAAAAAACCAAGGCACAGTTCCACGCGAAGTAGTTCAATCTTTCATTTTCGTCTGATTAGTACTTGCCCTCCAAGTATTAGATTTCTTGCAATTTTACTTTTACAGTGCTCTTATAGTTTGCCATTTTGTTTTGAGATGCTTTTAATTCTTGTTACATAGCGGAGTTGTAGTTCATGTGTGTGAATTTTTGTTTCAGTGTGTTTGGGGTTCAGAAGTGAATGCATTACTCAGGGATGGCTGGCAGCAAACTAAAAAACAATTAGATTATGAAATGGGTACTTTGGTTTCTCATCACTTCTTTGTTTTGTAATTTTCATTTATTCATGTTCTTTTGACAGCGTATTTAATTGTATTTTTTGTTTTCCCTGCGTCGTTTATTTTATGCTTGCGTGTTCTTTTGTATGCCTGATGTCTTTCTCTACAAGCTATGCATGAAGATTTGTTGTTGTTCTCTGCCAAGAGATAATTTCACAGATTATGTTTTTAAAGTCATAGAAAATACTTCTTGAGGATAAATGGGCTTGTCGGGACCTGTTTTCACTACAAATAGGATGTATCTTTTATATAAAAGAAGAGAATGGGGAGTTGCCAAAATTTCATTCTTCATCTTGATTTATTTCATGATGCTTTTTCTTTCATTTTATTTGATTCTTTCATTAGCTTTGCTAATTGCTACCACTAAATTTGAAATTGAACATCAATTACATGCCAAATGGACTTTAGAGATCAAGTATGGAGTGGAATGAGAGGAGAAGTCGTCACTTTCTCTCAGGTCTCTTTGGACAAGGTTTCCCTTATTTTTTTGTAATTGTTTTTTTTAGTTTAATGAGATGGAATTAAATAGTTAAGTTACCATACTAATGAATGTACTTTATTGAATTTTTAGTAATAAAAATGTGACAAAATGAACACCTTCTTTTTGTGTTTTTAATTTTTCTCACCTCTCCGAATTCAGTCCCATGCCGCCGTGTTCAGCTCGCCCGGTTACCGTAACCGACACAAAAAGTGCAAGTGCCATAGACCCGCTCACATACACTCAGGAAATCACAACCATACGAAGCAGCTTCCTTTTTTGGGTGGTCGAAGAAAGCTGCTCCCTTTAAAAGCCAGAAAAATCAAAACGATTGCATTTTCTCTCTCTTCTCATCACCATCACTTTTTGCGTCTAATTGGAGTAAGTGTTTCATGATGCAGCTACTTTGTATCTTCAATTTTTTTCTCTGCATGTTTATTTACGTTCTCAGCTTTTACACTACAACCATTAGATTTGTTATTTTGTTTTCTCTCTTTTTTTCTTTTGGTTTTGAACAATAAAGTCATCATCTTGCTTCCCCACTAACATTTGGCACGAGTAGGAATGGTTTAGGTGTGCTCAGTTTTGGCCTAAATGGTTATCGAACGAGCCTAAATGTTTGTTTCAATTCTCTGCTCCTGCTGTTGGTGGATTTCAAGTTATTTACAAAATTGCCACCTTTCGGTGAGGGTTTCAGGGATGGGAGACCATGCCGCTCTGGGATAAAGATAGACAGACAGTGGGAGAGGGAGACAGAGCGACAGAGAGAAAGGGAGAGGGAGGAGTGGGGATCTCAGTACCATTGCTGCAGATCCTCGATTTCATGAGTGGGAGAGGGTGTACAGTCAGAGAAAAGTATGGGGGCCGTCGGGATTTGAGGGGGAAGGGTATGGATCGGGGCCGGGGGTCTGGGTTTGTCCCTTTGGGCTGTTTGCGACCTCTCTTAGCGACTTACTCCGGCGTTCCGATGATGGAAACACTAAATCATTCACTCCTCAAGTATGTTACTTTTCAGTCATTGTTCTATTAATTCCAGTTCTCATTCTAATCTCTGTAAAGTTTGTGGCTTTGCACTGTTTAGGGTTTGAAGAGGAGAGAGAAAGTTATGCCTCATTCCTTTATGTAGAAAATTACTTTATACATATGCAATTTACATGTCTTGAAGTAACTGCAGTATCCTTTGCTTCATAGACAATTTCTGAAATTCCTTTTCTTTTTCTCTCCTAATTTCAGTCAATGATGCTGACCGAAGATTAGAGTTGAGTACCAGGATGAGGAGACTAGGAATGAGTTTTGGCTCTTAATAATTGCTGCTCTGTTGCTTGGAATTGTCAGTGCTTTCAGTTCGACTTCAACAATACTATATGTGCATCTTAAAGTTATAGGAATATAATTTACATTTCAGAATTTAATTTATTTAAGTGTTTTGCTAAAACACAAACACTGAGACTTGGTGGTGGCCTGCACTTTGCAGCCACAACTAAGACCAAGGGGTTGATTTTTATTTTCCTTTCCTTACCAATTGGATAGAAGTGCAACCCACCAGATAAGTAGTTAATTAGTTATACTACTAAAGTTACATAATGCCACTTAGCAGCTGGAAATTAACGAACTAGATTTCTTAACATATTTTTACATTCCATGTTTTTTTGTATGACAACTTTTTAGGTGCTGCAGTTTTGTTCTGGTTTTTCATTCTTTCTGTGAATTTCAATTGTAGTAGGATTGAATCATTTAAATTGTGGGATTGTTTTGTTTGATGGGTTTCAATTGTGTTTTCATTTATATAGTACTAATGGATTTACTGTGTTGGCAATTTCAAGAATTTGAATCGTTGGAGGGGGAAGTTGGTTCCTAGGCATTTTGAGGTATATAATTATATACCCTATTTTTATTCAAAGCCTATTTTAAATGTATGATTGGTTTGTAAGAAATGAATGAAAAAGAGAGTTAGAATACCCTATTTTGGATTTCGAAAAAGAAAGTTAGAAATGTATAAGGATGTGCATTTTATTTACCCTGTTTTGGATCAGAGTGTGTGTTATTTGAAAAAGAGAGTTAGAGATGTATGATCAGTGTGTGTGAGTTGTTCATTGAGGTGGTTTTTGCCACTAGACTTGCATTATTGTTCAGGACTGACAATTGTGATAGTAGGGTGTAGCAGATTCTCTTATTTATGTCTAGATTTGAATAGTTTATTGTATCATATACGAAAAATGAAAAGGGAATATGAGACGATATTGAAGAAGGCCTTGCAAAGCATCTGCTTGATTCAAATACGACAACCTCGGTTATTGTTTTGGTAAGGTGCTCTATTTGTGTGAAAATCTTTGAGTCTTGGAATATTTTAAACATTGTGTCAGCAACTTGAGACGAGCGCAATGGCGTTCTAACGGAGGACATGACACAAAACCGAGCGCAATGGCGTTCTAGGATTCATATAGCTGACCCCACTTAGTGGGAAAAAGCTTTGTTGTTGTTGTTGTTGTTGTTGTTGTCAGCAACTTGAGACGATTGTAAGCAGTACATGTAGTGTTGATGCCTTTTACTTTGCACGCATATTTGCTTCGTTGGAATTAAACTTGCAATGTATAGATTTATGCCTAGGAAAAGTTAGGGCCTTTGGAGCCTGATATTCTTTGTTAGAGTTTCTATTACAAAATTAGGGAGCTATCATGTCCATTTATGCTTCTATTTAGTAAGATTGAGGTGACAATGATTTCTAAGTTGTTTGTGAGCTGCATTCATTTCTTGGAAGACCACATTAAGAAGCATTTTGTCAATTGATGCCTTATAAAAAAATTTCGATATTTAATCTTGCTTTTGTTTTAGTTTCTTATTAGCACATGGCGTAATTTGCTTCGCTTGGTGGTTATTTGATGTGCCGTCAAATCTGAGTATCTTTATTTGAAAATGATTCATAGCTGTTGAGGATTGTAGCAGCACTTCGTTTTGATTTGTAAACAAACAATATACTTTATTTTTGTCTTGGGTTACAGTATAACGTTTAACGATTGAATTTGTTAGACGGTTTAGCAATTTTTTCAAGAACTTACTATTCTTGCCAGGTACTCAAGTATTATGTTTCTACTTTTCTACTTTCCCTTTTCTGTGTTTTTCTTCCATGTAGTAGGCTGATTACTTGCAACTATGATATTGATGACACAATACAATCTATAAATAGATGTTTCTTATAGCATGCATATCCATATATAGCAAGCAAAATTTGACTTCGATGGTTCTTACGTATTACGACGTCTTTTTAGTTGCTTTATTGGAATGCTATTCATGAATGTTGTGACTAATTATTCAATGCTTGCAGCAAAGCGCGGGTGCATTTTCTAGTGTTACTCTAATTCAACAATTGCTTCTAACTGTAGGAGGCAGTTGCGAATATTAGACTGTCATTGTTTTGCCTGCAAAAGACAGTTGCGAAAATTAGACCGTCTTTGTTTTACCTGCAAAAGACAGTTGCGAAAATTAGACTGTCATTTCTCGAAATTAATCAATATCGTTACCACAAATATAAGCCGCTAATTACATGAAAGCAGAAAAATCATGAGCAGAATAGATGCGAAATAAGATTTAGACGCGTTATCCTTACTTGGTTTCCTCCTGTCAACAAATTCAATTTCGCTCTAGGTGTAATTGTTCTACAATCTACACCTCTTACCCTCTGCTTCACATTCAATACAATTTGGCTTAAGACCATTTTAAATGAAGAGTTTTAATTTCATTTCTTTTTCCAAAAGGAATGGGCAATGGAAAAGGTAACATTTTATTTACCAAATTGCCACTTCTTTTTCCAATTATTTTTTGGGAACTTTAACGAAAAGCACCCGGTACTGTTCACTTTAACGAAAAACCACATTTTTACACTAAAAAGTCAATCCTGGTACTATTCACTTTACCCTTTATTTTGTCCTTATCATTAAAACTCAAAGTTTTCAAGCAATTTTCATTAGTTTTCCTTTATATTTTTGGGCCGGGGGTCTGGGGTAGGCCCTTTAGGCCATGTGTTTGTTTGGGTTGTGTACATTTGAGCTGTTAAATAGCGGGTATTGGTGTGAAAAGGACTTTATTACCCATTTTAATTTGAGATCTAAAGGCAGAGAATAAAAGTTGGGTGGGCATTATTGTCATTTTCAGTTGGGAGGGGTGGGTGTGGCTATCGATGGAATTAGGGCTGGTTTGGTATTGCTGTGCTTTGAAAAAAAGCTGCTGTGAGAATAAGCGGCTGTGAAATAAAGCCAGTAGAGTGTTTGGTAAACTTTTTTGTGAAAGTGCTTTTGGAAAAAAAAGCAGGATGATAGTGTGTCTTTTCATTAAAGGAGCATTGTAGCTCCGTGTGCTTTGAAAAAACTGGCTTTTTTTCAAAGCAGCAAATAGCAGCTTCAGCTTTTCCTTTGATTTTCAGCTTATTCTCACAGCAGCTTTCAAAATAAGCCATTTTTTTTCAGTTTACCAAACACAAAAATGACCCTCAGCTTTTTTTCACAATTGCTTTTTTTAAAATCACCTCAATCCCAAACGGGCCTAAGGAAATTAGTTGGATTCGGCGAGGGAGGCTCATAGAGAGGGTAAGTCCATGAAATCCATGGAATTTGTGAGGCAGCCTTACACAGAGAGTTGGTTGGATTGTGTGATTCGGTCAGGGGAAATTACAGAGAGAGAAATAGAAAGGGAGGAAGGGTTATTTGGTGGATGGTTCCTTTGGGATTGAGGTCGAATTTGGAAATGTGTTCCCATCACGCAAAAAAACCCCAACTTTTTGAATGCAGAAGAAGCACCGAAGATCAAACGGAACCCAATTGATATTTCGGCACAGAAGCTCCATTGTTGCAATCCCAGATTCTTAATCTTGTGATTTTCCTTTTCTTTTTTCTAGGTTCTTTTTATTTTATGTTTGGTTCTTGAGAAAAAAAATGAGGAAAAGCAAACGCAGAAAGGATGAAAGCCAAAAGCGAATGCCAAAAAAAAAAGTCATTTTCCCAAAACCCATTTGCCCGCATTTCCTCGCTTTCCCATTTCCCATTTCCCCTTTCCAATTTTCTGTAATTCCTTCAAAGAACAATTGATTCTTTCCAAATTCCAATCAAGAAAATAAAAAAATTGTACGTAAATTTAAGCTTTACGCAACAACAAAAAGTAAACTAAATCCAAAGATCTGGAGAAATTTGGGTTTTAGGGATTTGAGTTAACTGAAATTGATTTGGATGAGCAATTTTTTGTTTCGATTCATGGTGGAGCAAGAATGAAGAGGTTGACAAGGACGGAATGAAATGATGAAAAAATTTGGTTGAGCAGTATTCAGTATCGATTCGGAGTGGAGCTGGAAGGAAACGGTGCAGCAGAGAAATCTCCCTAGCATGCCACGTGTGCAAAACAATTTTTTTACACACCTATGCCCATAGGGCAATTGGGGATTTCACTGTATAGAGGCATAAAAGTGGGAACACAGAAACATTAAAAATGAGGGCAAAAAAGTAAAAACACTGTTGGTTATGAACAATGTTTTTCTCTTTCCGTTTTATGACCCGTTTACTAATCCGTAATCAGAGTATGAGGAATTGAATTGAATTGAGAAGAAGATGGAATGAAGTGGAATTAGAATTGGATTCATGTTGAATCTGTTTACTAAACTATCTGGAATCGGAATAAAAATGATATTGATTACATAAAAATTATTTACTCACTCACATGAATCGGAATTGAAACCTATTTGATTACTAAATTGCCCTTGTTATAAATTATATTTTTATATGCTAGTTAATGGTTAATTTTGATAACCACATATGCTCATAAAATCCAATTAGCTACATGAAAACATAACTATTCAGCAAAATAAATAATTAACAAATTTATTAAAAATATAAAATAACATAAAAAAACCCAAAACACAAAAAGCTGCGATGCCATCTTCTCCCCCCTACATCCCCAAACCCAGCTCCTCACCACCTATCACAACCGTCCCCACCCCCTGTTTTTAGATGACCATGCGGCCACGCCATACATTTTCCCCTCTCTTTGTGCGTTCATGCATGTATTTTGGATAGTCTGCGGCGACGGGGCAAGGAGAAAGGGGTCGGGATTTCACTGGAGTCGAAGCTCCTCTGTTAGGAAATGGTGGGATTGGGGAGAAGAGAGATGGGTCTATACACTGGTCATGGAACTGGGGAGGTGAAATTGTGAGGGATATTTGGGTTTACCAAAAAAGCATGAGGATAGTATGGGTAGAAAACTTGGATCCCTGATGAATCTATTTTCAGGAACTCAATTCCCACCTCCCAAGTCAAGAATCCATTTCCGGGTATTTAAGGAATTGTATTCCGGATTTTGGGTGGGTCCCACCTGAATGTTGATTCCCTCTGGTTTAGTAAACACTAAAATGACTTGGAGTTCGTGCAATTCCATTTCCTACACTTTCATTCCGGTTTGATAAACACGTCTTAGTATAGAGCATTTCTTGTCTTTTAGGGTTTCTGATAAGGGTAAGGGAAATTTTATTTGAACCCATACAACTTCTTGCTACACCTAACTTATTCTTTACACCCATATTATTTTTAATTAAAGAATCAATTTCTCTCTAAACCCAAATTACTATCTAAACTACCCTCACAAACTCAATTCAATATATAAAAATTCATCTTTACACCCTTTTAGAAAGCAAAAGCAAGAGGAGGCCTTTGATCACTTCGTGAAGCAAGCCTCATCACTCGATGGCTCCGCCCTCGGCCCCCTCGTCGCAGAAGTCACCTCCCACCCTGCCCTTTTTGCCTTTTCGGAAATTATCGATGTCCCTAATGTTCTTCAGGTTCCCATGTTTCTATTTATTTATTGTGGAAGTTTCATTTTTCTGTGTATATTTTGGTGGTGTAGTTTCTGGATTTGAGCAAAGGATGTATAATCAGAATTTTGTTGCAGCCAAAGTCAAAATAAAATTGTTGATTGTTATAGGGTCTTGTTTCATATGCATTTGTTTTTTTACTGTGGAATATGTGCAGCTTGAAGGAACTGAAAATTATGTCTACCTCGATGTGCTTCGATTGTTTGCACATGGCACATGGAGTGATTACAAGAGTAAGCACATTGCACATCAGCAGAGTCGGGTCGCAGAGGAAGGAAGGCAACGCGTTGATGCTGTCGTTTGGGATAAACCCATCAGCTGAAATATCCAAAGGGGCTTCCGACGGCTCGTCGTCTCAGGTCTTATCTGCAATGCTTCCTTTCGTCGTTGCTGCTCTGGCTCAGCCGTCAACGTTCACTTGGTAAGTTCTGGTTTTCTTGAATTTTTATTGGGTTTTGAATGGTCGCAAGTCGAGTTCTTGTGGAATTAGCAACTGGGATTCTGCTTATGTTTTTAGGTTTATAGCAAGTCCAGTCCAAGTTGGCTTATTTTATACATGAATACTTTGAATACTTTGTTTTTACTGATCGAGTTAACATGAAGCTAGAGAGGAAACAAAAAGCAACCGGATTTGATTATTAGGTGATCGTAGGGTTTTATTGCAGCCCTTAGGAATTTATTCAAAATGAATGTAGGATAAAAATTGTGTGATGGTAGAACTTAATTATTGAGTATGGGTTTATTGATAAATTTTAGTTTTATTCTTAATTTCATCTTGTACTTGATGGTAATTATGCATTAGGATAAAATAGACAATTCACATTTAGAATTTAAGTTGGGTGTAGAAAGAGGTTAGATGGGTTCAAATAAAATTTTCCTAAGGGTAATGTTGGAGAGATTGCATATTTATACCACATTGATGTACCATATGATGTAATAAGTAATACAAATAACCAACAGTCTAACATCTAATGAGATAAACTCATTACAAGACGTGGTATGTACACAGCCATATCACAATATGGTACAACAATGTAATATAAACGTGTAATCTCTCTAGTATTTCGCTTATTTTTTTATTTATATTTGTTAATAGAAACAATATCGTTGAACCTTAAGAAGGATTACACTCAACATCATGTGGGTGAACATATTGAATGCTGAGCAGGCTCCTCGTATAATGCTACATAACTACCAAATATGGGTAAATTCCAGCTCCTGCCCATGGGAAGCCCATACTTTGCTTGCACATGAGCTACTTAATGAATTGGAATTAATTGTGGGTTCCTCTAGGTCTTTCTAATATTGTTTACTAATTGTTGCGGCATATCAAGTGACTTTGCATAAAAACTTTCATAACATTGACACGGTTATAACACTATTGTGTCGTTAATTGTCAATCATGCAACACAACGTGTAAATTCTTTTTACATAACATTTGTGTGATTGGCATGAGACACCACGCATGCCATAGAAGTTGGTCTTGAACATAGAAGAAAATATCGATAATATCAGCGAAATATCGCCGATATTATCGTTTTTTTTCATATAACGATATTTCACGAGTATTCCTTTAATCATCGCTAATATATCGCGATAATATCGATATTATCGCGAGATGAACCTAAAAATATTTGAAAATTTCTGAAAAGTCTCAAACACACCACGCATGCCATAGAAGTTGGTCTTGAACATAGA